ACTTTGTGTGTGGTCTGAATTCTTTGTATTTATTGAGACTTATTTTATGGCCCAGAAAATGGTCCGGCTTGGTAAATGCTCTGTGAACAATAGAGAACAAGTATATATTCTACTTTTCTTGGTTGGAGTATTCTAACAGTGTTGATCAGATTGTGTTGGCTGATGGTGTTGTTCAACTGTACTATATTCTTGGTGATTTTTTTTTTTTTTTTTGCTTGTATCAGTTTTTGATAAGGAGTATTAAATCTGACTTTGTCAATTTTCTAGTTTAAGTTTTGTCAGTTTTTGCTTCATTTATTTAAGCTGTGTTATTAGGTGCCTAAATGTTTAGGATAACAGTGTCTTCTTAATTGCTTTCTTTATTCATATGAAATGACCTTTGTTACCACTGGTAACAGTCTTTACTCTGGAATCCACTTAGTCTGATATATATAGCCATTCTAATTTCTCCTTGATTTATGTGAGTATATGTTTTTTGTCCTATTACTTTAAAACTGTATGTGCTTTTATATTGGAAGTACAGTTTTTTTTAGGTAGCATGTAGTTTGATTTTGCATTTTATCTAGTTTGACAATCTCTGACTTTCAAATGGGGGCATTTACACCATTTTGTCCTAATTTTCACAACTAACCGTGTGTTCTTATTGGCCCCATTTCATTAAAGAGGTAAGAAACTGAAAGTTAGAAAGAATAATTGACTGCCCAGTGTTGTACATAATAAATGGTCAAGCTGTGGCTTAAATTCATAAACAGTGTGTCTCCAGCATTCCGTCTTAAAACTACTAAACTTTTACTGTAGTAGGAATCTTAAGAGAGATTTTAGAAAAGCTTAAGATTGTCATGGAAATACTTACATTTTACAGAAAGTTCATGTTGATGGTGGTGAGAATGGTAGTTTCAATGGGAAAGTCTGATATTAAGGGAACTGCTTTAAGATAGTAGAAAGAATTTTTTTTTCTATACTTTCAACACTGCACTTAAATTTTTTTTTTTTAATTAAAAAATTTGTTTTTGAGATAAGGTCTTGCTCTGTTGCCCAGGCTAGAGTACAGTTGTGCAGTCATAGCTCACTGCAGCGTTGATCTCCTGGGCACAAGGAATCTCCCTGCTTCAGCCTCCTCAGTAGCTGATACTACAGGTGCACACCACCATGCCTGGAGAATATTTTACATTTTTATTAGGGCCGAGCTCTCTCTGTGTTACCCAGGCTGGTCTCGAACTTCTAAGCTCAAGCGATCCTCCCACCTTGGCCTCCCAAAGTGCTAGGATTCCAGGCATAAGCCACCACACCTGGCTGTAACACTTCATTTCTGACACTAAATATGTGGGGTTTTTTCCCACGCCAGCAAATTCTTGAATTGTCCCCATACACTGACTGGATGGTCCTACTGTTTAACTAAATTCTGACACTAACTGCCCATGGTTAATGTAGACCCTGCAGGTTAAGGGCTCAGTCCCACAACACTGCTCTCACTTCACATGACAGTCACAAATCTGGGTCTTCTAAACTTGTGACCAACTGGCTGTAAACTGGGGGTTCCCAGCAACCTCTTCTCAGGTTCCATAATTTGTTATAACAGCTCGCAAGACTCAGGGGAATGCATACTTATATTTACTAGTTTTGTTATGAAAGATATTCTAAAGTATATGGGTGAACAGCCAGATAGAGAGTACATAGGAGGGCCGGGCGCGGTGGCTCACGCCTGTAATCCCAGCACTTTGGGAGGCTGAGGCAGGTGGATCACAAGGTCAAGAGTTCGAGACCAGTCTGGCCAACATGGTGAAACCCCATCTGTACTAAAATACAAAAATTAGCCGGGCGTGGTGGCGTGTGCCTGTGATCCCAGCTACTTGGGGGGCTGAGGCAGGAGAATTGCTTGAACTTGGGTGGTGGAGGTTGCAGCGAGCCGAGATTGTGCCATTGCACTCTAGCCTGGGCAACAGAGCAAGACTCTATCTCTGGGGAAAAAAAAAAGAAAAAGTACATAGGATGAAGTGTGTGAGAAGGGAAATGGAGCTTCCAAGCCCTTTCTGGGTGTGCCACCCTGCAGCACCTCAGTGTGTTCAGCCTGCAAGCTTTTTGAACCCTATCTTTTAGGGATATTTACGGAGGCTCCATCACATAGTCATGATTGATTATTAACTCAGTTTCCAGCCCCTCTTTCCTCCATGGCGGATAGGAATGGGGTGGGGCTAAAAATGAAGTTTCTAACCATGGCTTAGTTTTTCTGGTGACTAGCCCTCAGACTAGCTCTCTATCCAGGGGCCTGCCAAGAGTTGGCTCATTAGAATACAAATTTCCTGTCACCCGGGAAATTCCAAGGAATTTAAGAGCTCTGTGTTAGAAATTGGGATCAAAGACCAAATATTAGAACAAAAATGCTCCTAGCTCTCCTGTCCCTCGAGAAATTACAAGGTTTTGGGAGCTCTGTGTTAGGAACCAGGGCCACAGACCAAATACCTATTTCTTATATGCCACAGCTGGTATTGTGATAGTTTAGGGGAGAAGTACTGATATTCTCCACTAAGACATTGGTGCATGTATATATCTTAGTATAAAGAAAGGAGGCCAGGTCTGAAAAACATTTAGTTGAATCAATAGTTGTTAATTGGAAGCAGGAGAGAAGGGAAGACCTCTCAAAGGTGTCTGGCTCATGAGATTGGGAAAATGGTGACATCTGGATGATTAGGAGGCAGGAAAGATTAGAGATAGGAGCTAAATGAAGTATATTGAGTCTGAGTATATAGGAGCCTTAGACTAAGGAGGTGACAATAGAAATTACAAGGAAGAGTTATGAGATGTTAAATAAGCCTTAGGAAGGCAAGGATAAAGGAAACTAATGAGGTTTGAACCTGAACTGTTGGGAGATAATGAATGCAACATTTTGGGGTATGAACTGATTTGGACCGGGTAGAGTGGAGGAGGCAATGTTTTGTTTGACCTTTACCTCTTGAGTTTGTGGAAATACCAAGCAGACAATTAGATTTATGTGATTGTTGTTTGGGAGAGGTCAGATCTGGAGACATGCAGAGTAAATTTAATATGCTTTCCTGATGCAATCAGGAATCTCAAGGTCATTTATTTGGGTATTTCTGTTTTCAAGCATATGAGCTATATGTAAGATTATATATATTATATATATCATGTGAAACCTTCAAACTTTCTTATTTTTGGCAAAGTTCTTTGTTAAATACCGAAATTTGAAGGAAAACAAAGAGCTAGTCATTGAAAAATCATTGCGAAACCAGACAGATATTAAAGATACATTTTAGGTATATATTTTAAACTGAATTAGAATAAAAGAAAAATTAATCACTTTAAACAGGTATGTTTATGTTGTGAATTTCAAATGACAAATCCCAATTCTCTATTTTGAATAATTAAAAATCTACAGAAAAAATGGAAAGAGGGGTGTAATAGACACTCATGTATGTTTTAGATTCACTGATTGTTAATTTATTTGCCACATTTGCTACATTACTTTTTTTCTGGCTCCCTCTATATTGACATACACTTTTTCCTTGAACAATTTGAAAGTAAATTTCAGCTACCATGACACTTCACTTTTAAATACTTACATGTCTATCTTGTAAGACTAAAGGCGTTCTTCTTCATAACCACAATACTATTAATCACACAAGAAATTTAATCCTGGCTAAACCTATTACTTAATATATAGTTCATAGTCACATTTCCCCAGTTGTCCTCTAAATGTCCTTTATAGCTTTTTTTCCCCTTCCCATTTCAGATATAATCAAGGATCATGAGTTGTATTTATCATGTCTTTTCATGTCTCTTTAATGTCCTCCCTGCCTTTTTTTTTTTTATACCTTTTATGACATTGATATTTTTGGAGCCTAGGCCATTTGTTTTATAGAATATCCTGTAATCTAGATCTCTCTGATTGTTTCCCTATGATTAGATTCAGATTAAACATTTTTGGCCAAGATTACTACATGGTTGTTGATGTATACTTCTCATTGGATCGTATCAGGGGGTACATGATGTCAATTTGCATGATTATTGGTGATGCTGACTTAGTGAAGGTATCTGATCTCCTTTCTGCAATAATACATATTTTTTGTAATTAATAAGTAATTTTAAGTTAATCCCTAGTATTCCTAGAAAGTAATAAGCAGTCTGGAGTGAAACCAATTATGTGCATATCATGTAACTTGATTCTAAATTTTAAAGGTGAAGAATAGGTTTGGGGGCTCATATGGAAATAGAGTGAGAATGGAATGTAGGACATGTGAGAGGAAGGATGTGTGTGAGATGAGGATGCACAGGTAGAGCCTTTGTGCCATGCTAAAACAGGAACAGTTGAAGGGTTTTAACCTGCTATTGATTGGGGTGATGAAATTGGATTTGTGTTTTAGAAAGATAGTTTTAGCAGCAGGAAGGATATTATGTCCAGCCTAAAGATGATGAAAGGCTGGATCCAGTTGGCAGAGAGAGGAAGATTTGAGAAATATTTATGATGTTAAAATGGACAGAATTTAGTGATTGGCTCAATGTTTGTTGTGGAGATTCAGAGTTTTTTTGTAGTATAATATTTAATAGAATTGCCTGACTCATTGCCTAGATTGTGCTAAATGTAACATTCAAGGAATTAGATTTTATAAATTATAGACACATGGTCTTTTGGCTTCTCTTATAGTTTTCTCTTATTCTTTGTACTTATTCTACTTTTTTGAGGACCATTTGAAGGACATTAACATTGTGATTCCATTTAGAGGAAAGATTGCTTCTCTATTTATTCTACCCAAAATGTACACCTAGGTCTGCTACTAAGCTTTTGGATAGGATAGAACAGAATTTGGTACTCTCTTAAAATTTCTTCGCTAGGTAGAGTAAGATTTTGTTGCATATGATCTGTATGTAAGGTCACCTCTAGCTCTAAAATTCTGATTCTATGATGTTTATTTTTCTCTCAGACAGCCCATTTTATTTCTTGGAAAATTCTTAATGTTTTCTTTGTCCATTTATGTTTTTCTAAGATGTTCTCAGTGCAGCTGAGTCTTGGTGAGCAGACATGGGAATCCGAAGGCAGCAGTATAAAGAAGGCTCAACAGGCTGTTGCCAATAAAGCTTTGACTGAATCTACGCTTCCCAAACCGGTTCAGAAGCCACCCAAAAGTAATGTTAACAATAACCCAGGTATGGCAGTGACTCCTTCTGTTATGTTGTGTGCTATGTGTTCTGCTCGTTGTATGTTTCATTTATAGCAGGCCAGTAACAGAGTGAGCAAGTATTAATAGTACACATATGCCCATGCTTATACACACACATAGGCGGTAGCATAAAAATAACTGAAGGAGGCTTGGTGTGTTGGCTTATGCCTGTAATCCCAGCACTTTGGGAGGCTGAAGTGGGTGGATCACGTGAGGTCATGAGTTTGAGACCAGCCTGGCCAACATGGTGAAACCCTGTCTCTACTAAAAATCTCAGGAGGTCTGCCCACCTTGGCCTCCCAATGTGCTGGGATTACAGGTGTGAGTCACCGAGCTTGGCTCTTCATATTCAGTTTAGAACATTTATATGACATTTATTAAGAAACCCACAAATTTGTCTGGGAGCAGTGGCTCACGCCTGTAATCCTAGCACTTTGGGAGGCCGAGGTGGGCGGATCACAAGGTGAGGATTCCGAGACCAGCCTGGCTAGCATGGTGAAAATTAGCCAGGCATGGTGGCGTGCACCTGTAGTCCCTGTTACTCAGGAGGCTGAGGCAGGAGAATTGCTTGAACCTGGCAGGCGGGGGTTGGAGTGAGCCGAGATCGCGCCACTAGACTCCACCCTGGGTGACAGAGCACGACTCTGTCTCAAAAAAAAAGAAACCCCACCACAAATTCCCCAAGCCACCTGCATGTAAAATACTGCTAAGTAAATGACTGTTCTCATTTTAAGCTCCTAAGAATAATTTTCAAGAGTTGTTCTCATTGTATACAATACCAACAACATTATATATCGTTATTTTTTTTTAAAATTATTTCAGTAGTTTTTGAGGAACAGGTGGTGTTTGGTTACATTGATAAATTCTTCAGTGATGATTTCAGAGATTTTGTTGCACCCGTCACCCATGCAGTGTATGCTGTACCCAATGCATAGTCTTTTACTCCTCATCCCTCTCCCAACCTTCCCCCAGAGTCCCCAAAGTCCATTGTATCTTTTTTTTTTTTTTGAGATGGAGTCTCGCTCTGTCACCAGACTGGAGCGTAGTGGTGAGATCTCGGCTCACTGCAGCCTCTGCCTTCTGGATTCAAGCAATTCTTCTGCTTCAGCCTCCCAAGTAGCTGGGACTAAAGGCATGTGCTACCATGCCTGGCTAATTTTTTGTATTTTTAGTAGAGACAGAGTTTCACTGTGTTAGCCAGGATGGTCTTAATCTCCTGACCTCATGATCCACCCACCCCGGCCTCCCAAAGTGCTGGGATTACAGGCATGAGCCACTACCCCGGCCTAATTTTTTTTCGTATTTTAGTGAGGACAGAGTTTCACCGTGTTAGCCAGGGATGGTCTCGATCTTCTGACCCTGTGATGCCACCCACTTCGGCCTCCCAAAATGTTGGGATTACAGGTGGTGAGGCCACCATGGCCTTGATCCATTGTATCATTCTCAGTGCCTTTGTGTTTCCTTATAACTTACCTTCCATTTATAAGTGAGAACATACTACATTTGGTTTTCCATTCCTGAGTTACTTTACTTAGAATAATGGTCTCCAACTCCATCCAGGTGGCTGCAAATGCCATTATTTCATTCCTTTTTATGGCTGAGTAGTATTCTGTGGTGTATATGTACACCACATTTTCTTTATCCGTTCATTGATTGGTGGGCATTTGGGCTGGTTTTATGTTTTTGCAATTGTGAATTGTGCTGCTATAAACATGTATATACAAGTGTCTTTTTCATATAATGACTTCTTTTCCTTGGGTGGATGCCCAGTAGTGGGATTGCTGGATCAAATGGTAGTTCTATTTTTAGTTCTTTAAAGATAATCTCCATACTGTTTTCCATAGTGGTTGTACTAGTTGACATTCCCACCAGCAGTATAAAAGTGTTTCTTTTCGGCCGGGCATGGTGGCTCACGCCTGTAATCCCAGCACTTTGGGAGGCCGAGGTGGGTGGATCACGAGGTCAGGCGATCGAGACCATCCTGCCTAACACAGTGAAACCCCGTCTCTACTAAAAATACAAAAATAATTAGCCGGGCATGGTGGTGGGCACCTGTAGTCCCAGCTACTTGGGAGGCTGAGGCAGGAGAATGGTGTGAACCCGGGAGGCGGAGCTTGCAGTGAGCTGAGATTGCGCCACTGCACTCCAGCCAGCGACAGAGCAAGACTCCCTCTCAAAAAAAAAAAAAAAAAAAGTGTTTCTTTTCACCACATCCACACCAACATCCATTATTTTTTTATTTTTAAATTATGGCCATTCTTGTAGGAGTAAGGTGGTATATTAGTCTGTTCTCACACTGCTATAAAGAACTTCCTGAGACTGGGTAATTTATAAAGGAAAGGAAGTTTAATTGACTCACAGTTCTATATGGCTGGGGAGGCCTCAGGAAACTTATGGTCATGGTAAAAGGTGAAGGGGAGGCAGGCACCTTCTTCATAAGGTGGCAAGAAAGAAAATGACTGAAGGAGGAACTTGCCAAACATGTACAAAAAATCAGATCTCATGAGAACTCAGTCACTACCATGAGAACAGCAAGGGGAAAACTGCCCCCATGATTCAAATTCCCTCCACCTTGTCTCTCTGTTGACACATGGGGATTATGGGGGTTGCAATTCAAGATGAGGTTTGGGTGGGGACACAGCCAAACCATATCAGGTGGTTTTGCATTGTGGTTTTGATTTGCATTTCCCTGATGATTTGTGATGTTGAACACTTTTTCATATGTTTGTTGGCTGTTTGTGTATTTTCTTTTGAGAACTGTCTATTCGTATCCTTAGCTCACTTTTTGATGGCGTTATTTTTTTCTTGCTGATTTGAGTTCCTTGTAGATTCTGGGTATTAGTCCTTTGTCAGATACATAGTTTGTGAAGATTTTCTCCCACTCTATGGGTTGTGTGTTTGCTCTGCTGATGATTTATTTTACTGTGCAGAAACTTTTTAGTTTAATTAAGCCCCATCTGTTTATCTTTGTTTTTGTTGCATTTGCTTTTGGGTTCTTGGTCATGAAGGCTTTGCCTAAGCCAATGTCTAGAAGAGTTTTTCCAAAGTTGTCTTCTAGAATTTTTATGGTTTCAGGTCTTAGATTTAAGTCTTTGATCCATCTTGAGTTGATTTTTGTATAAGGTGAGAGATGAGGATCCAGTTTCATTCTTCTCCGTGTGACTTGCCAATTATCCCAGCACCGTTTGTTGAAAATATAAAGTGGGGAAAGTGTCCTTTCCCCACTTTATATTTTTTGTTTGCTGTGATGAAAATCAGTTGGCTCTAAGTATTGGGCTTTATTTCTGAGTTCTCTATTCTGTGCCATTGGTCTATATGCCTATTTTTATAGCAGTGTAGTGCTGTTTTGGAGACTATAGCCTTATAATATAGTATTAAGTCAGGTAATGTGATGCTTCCAGATTTGCTTATTATGCTTAGTCTTGCTTTGGTTATGTGGGCTCTTTTTTGGTTCCATATGAATTTTAGGATTGTTTTTTCTAGTTCTGTGAAAAATGATGATGGTATTTCGATGGGAATTGAATAGAATTTGTAGATTGCTTTTGGCAGTATGGTATTTCCACAATATTGATTCTACCCATCCAAGAGTTTGGGATGTGTTTCCATTTGTTTGTATCCTCTGTGATTTCTTTCAGCAGTATTTTGTAGTTTTTGTTGTAGAGTTCTTTCCACTTTCTTTGTTAGGTATATTCCTAAGTATTTTATTTTTTTGCAGCTATTGTGAAAGGGATTGAGTTCTTGATTTGATTCTCAGCTTGGTTGCTGTTGGCATATAGCAGAGCTACTGATTTGTGTACATTTATTTTGTATCTTGAAACTTTACTGAATTCATTTATCAGATCTAGGAGCTTTTTGGATGAGTCTTTACTGTTTCCTAGGTATACGATCATATCATCAGTGAACAGCAACAGTTTGACTTCTTCTTTATTGATTTGGGTGCCCTTTATTTCTTTCTCTTGTCGATTGTTCCAGCTAGGACTTCCAGTACTGTGTTGAATAGAAGTGGTAAAATTGGGCATCCTTGTCTTGTTCCAGTTCTCAGGGGGAATGCTTTCAACTTGTCCCCTGTTCAGTATAATGTTGGCTGTGGATTTGTTATAGATGCTTTTATTACCTTAAGGTATGTCTCTTCTATGCCGATTCTGCTGAGGATTTTAATCATATAGGGATGCTGGATTTTGTCAAATGTTTTTTCTTTGTTGAGATGATCATTTGGTTTTTGTTTTTAATTCTGTTTATGTGGTGTATCATAACTTGTGGACATAAAACTATCCCTGCATCCCTGGTATGAAACCCACTTGTTCATGGTGAATTACCTTTTTTATATGCTGTTGGATTCAGTTAGCTTATATTTTGTTGAGGATTTTTGCATCTGTGTTCATCAGGGATATTGGTCTGTGGCTTTCTTTTTTTGTTATGTCCTTTCCTGTTTTTGGTATTAGGGTGATAATGGCTTCATTGAATGATTTAGGGAGGATTCCTTCTTTCTCTGTCTTTTGGAATAGTGCCAATAAAATTAATACCATTTCTTTTTTGAAAGTCTGTTAGAATTCAGTTGTGAATCCGTCTGGTCCTAGGCTTTTTTTTTTGTTGTTGTTGGCAGTTTTAAAATTACCATTTCAGTCTTGCTGTGGTCAGTTCAGAGTTTCTGTTTCTTCCTGGTTAATCTAGAAGGGTTGTATATTTCCAGGAGTTTATCCAGCTCCTCTAGGTTTTCTAGTTCGTGTGTGTAAAGGTGTTCATAGTAGCCTTGAATGATATTTTGTATTTCTGTGGTATCAGTTGTTATATCTCCTGTTTGTTTCTAATTGAGTTTATTTGGATCTTCTGTCTTCTTTTTTTGGTTAATCTTGCTAATGTTCTATCAATTTTGTTTATCTTTTCAAAGAACCAGCTTTTTGTTTTATTTATCTTTTGTATTTCTTTGTTTCAATTTCATTTAGTTCTGCTCTCATCTTTGTTATTTCTTTTCTTCTGCTGGGTTTG